GATTTTGAAAATAATCGCAGCGTATATTTTTATACCCTCCACCTTGGAAAGGAGGGTATATTAACTTTGTCATTCCGTTTGTAACATCCTTAAATATTCGTCTTAGACGCCATAAAGTAGATATATTCATAATCAGCATAAAATTCTAGGTCGATTTAACGATGTCCGTCTGTCTGTTGAAATCACGATACAGCCCACATTATTTGTCGTAGAGCGTCAAAATTTAGCAGAGCAATTTGCATTGTCTCTAGGATGGTTGGTATTAAAAAGGAGATATATCGGTCCACGTTCTGGTATAATCCCCATATAACGGTACCTCCCGATATTCGGTATTTTGATGATTTATGCCACGTTTTTTCACGGATTTGTTTAAAAATTAGGTATTTGTAGGTCATAACGGGTCCCTGAGCCTGTGGCAAAACATTGCATGTATAGGTCCACGTTGTGGTATAGCCCCCATATAAAGGTACCTCCCGATATTCGGTATTTTAGTTTTTTTTTTTTGCCATATTTTTTTTCACGGATTTGTCTAAAAATTGGTAGTTGTTGGTCATAATGGTTTCCAGCTCCGGTGGCGAAACATTGCATGTATGGGTCCATGATTTGGTACCTCCCGATATTCGGTAATTTGATGATTTTTGCCACATTTTTTCACGGATTTGTCTGAAAATTGGTATTTGTTGGTCATAATGGGTTCCAGCTCCGGTGGCAAAACATTGCATGTATGGGTCCATGATTTGGTATAGCCCCCATATAACGGTACCTCCCGATATTCGGTATTTTGATGGTTTTTGCCACATTTTTTCTCTGATTGTCTAAAAATTGGTATTTGTGGGTCATAATGGGTCCTAGTTCGTAATTATAGGTCCACGTTTTGGTGTAGCTCCCTTATAATGGAACCTCCCGATATTCGGCATTATAATGGTTTTTGCCACACTTCTTCTAATGTTTCTTTTACCCTAAGGTGGAGGGTATTAAAAGTTTGGCCCGGCCGAACTTAATGTTTTTTTTTACTTGTTTACATTACATGTCACATACACTCACATACATGTATGCATACATACACATTCTTGTTATATATGCTTTGGCTACACTGCAATTGCTGCTGCTACCTGCCGGCCTATACATCTACAATATTGAGCCTCTTAAAAACAAAGGAAAACGTGCAAAGGCATAATTACACCCACCATATCTTTCTCCTCCATAGGTATATCCATATATTAATATATATTGTATTGACTAGTGGCTTTGCAACCTAGCCAAGGCAACCTTGGGTCACTTTTTCGTCGTCATCGTCTTCTTCTCCTAATTGAGAGGAGGAATAGCAGTAATATGGAATAAACAATAGATAAAGGAAATAGTTCTTTATGACCTTCCTTTCTGTTATTGGAATGGTTGTTTATCCTTTACTTGTTGTTGTAGTAGTTGGTATGTAACTCGATAAGGACCAAAAGCAGCATCATCATGGGCAGTGAAGAGGATTTTTGAGGACTTCCCACAAAAAAAAAAAGGTTTGAAAATTAATTGGATGGAATTGTGGGGTCTTTGTGGGTGATTGTTAGGGAAGCTATGTAGATACCCAATAAGGTGGTATAAAAAGCGATTGTAAGGAGTACCTATGGGCGATTTTTAAGGCGTCCTCACAGACGACTTTAAAAAAGTCATTATAGATGATCTTTTATGGACGATGATTGGATTTTTGAGGGTTTGAAAATTAATTGGATGGAATTTAGGGTCTTTGTGGGCGATTCTGGCGAAGGACACCGCAGGCGACTTTTAAAAAGTTTTTATAGATGACTTGTAAGCAGTCCGTTTAGGTATAAAAAGTGACTCTAAAGAGTCCTTAGGGCCGATTGTGGGGGGTCCTTACCGGCGACTTTTAAAAAGTCGTTATAGATGAGCATTTATGAGCGACGATTGGATTGTTAAGGGTTTTGAAAATTATTTGCATGGAATTGAGGGTCTTTGTGAGCGATTTGGTCGAAGGACCCCACAGGCAGCTTTTAAAATGTATTTATAGATGACTTGTAAGCAGTCCGTTTAGGAGGTATAAAAAGCGACTCTAAGGAGTCCTTAGACGCGATTTTTAGGGGGTCCTTACAGACGACTTTTAAAAAGTCGTTATAGATGAGCCTTTATAGACGACGATTGGATTGTTGGGGGTTTGAAAATTATTTGCATGGAATTGAGGGTCATTGCGGGCGAAGGACCCCACAGGCGACTTTAAAAAATCTTTATACATGACTTGTAATCAGTCAGGTATGGAGGTATAAAAAGCGACTCTATGGAGTTGCAATTTTTAGGGGGTCCTTACAGGCGACTTTTAAAAAGTCGTTATAGATGGACGACGATTGGATTGTTGAGAGTTTGAAAATTAATTGGATGGAATTGAGGTCTTTGTGGGCGATTGTTAGGAGTGCTTAGAGTCGATTTTTAAGGGGTCTTTGCAGGTGGCTTGTAAAAAGTTTTTATACATGAATTGTAAGCAGCCCGGTAAGAAGGTATAAAAAACGACTGTAGGAATTCTTTAAAGGCGGTTTTAAACTGGTCCTTACAGGCGACTTGTAAAATATCTTTATAGCAGACTTGTAAGGAGTCTTTATTGACGACTGGTATAGAGTGCTTAAACGCGGTTGGTAAGGAATTTTCATAACGTTGATAAGGAGTTTTTATGATTGAGAGGCAGAATTTGAAGGGAGTCTTTAAGGACGACTGGTAAGGAGTCTTTATGGACGACTGGTAAGGCGACTTTATAGACGTCTACAGGGTGAGATAAAAAAAACTGCATCCAACTTCAGACTGCTGTCATTTCTAAGCCACTCGTCCGACAGCTGTTAAAATTATTTGAGTGACTGCTCATTATATTCTTTACAAGCGTACAAAAGCATTTTTCTGAGAATTTTCCAGAAAAAAAGTTTTTCGTGATGGAATTCAAGCGTGATAGTATGATTTCTTTATATTTGGCTGGAAGACCACAAGTGGCTATCGTTAGAGTACTCCAGCATTTAAATGTGAATAAATCTTTTGTGTCTCGTACCATTGCTCGTTACCTTGATACTCGTAGCGTAGCTCGATGTCAAGCAAGTGGACGGAAGAAAAGGGTTCGAAAAGTTAGGAAGCGACTTGATCGAAACTCGCGTCGCATGGAAAAATGGCTCGTGAGCTGAACATATCGCAATATTCCATTCGGCAAATATTAAAAAATGAGCTCGGGATAAAGCCATTGAAATTCCAAAAAAGTGCAAGAACTTACCCTGCAACAGAAAGAAAATAGACTCAAAGAGCTAAAGAGTTGCTTCGCTTGGCCGAAAGTGGTGAACTACCGAATTTGGTTTTCTCCGATGAGAAAACATTCGTTGTCCAGCAGTTTGTAAACAAACAAAATAATCGTGTTTACTTGCCAAAGAGGTCAGCTGCAGCAAATGTGCACCTTAGGTTGGCCACCAGAACTCAAGCGCCGACCATGATGATGCTGATGGTGTGAGCCGCCATAAAAGCCGATAGTTGCTCTCCGCTCGTATTAATCGACCGTGGCATCAGAATAAATGCCCAATATTATCGTGAAAATATTCTGGAGGGTGTATTAAAGCCTTGGGCACGCAAACATTTTGGCCGCAGACCTTGGACATTCCAACAGGACTCAGCACCATCGCACTCAGCACGTGCCATCCAAGTATGGTTACAAAATTAGGATCCTTGCTTCATTTCCCGCGCACAATGGCCACCAAAATCTCCGGAAGCCAATCCGTTGGACTATTGTGTCTGGAGTATTTTAGAAAGCAAGGTTGTCACTAAAAAATACCAAAGTGTCGATCACCTCAAGCAAGCGCTTCGCCGGGAATAGGTCAAAATACCGCAGAGCAACATTCGAGCAGTGTGTGACGGTTTCCGTTGGCCGTTTGAAGGCCATAATTCGTGCCAATGGTGACCAATTCAAACAAATCTAAAATTATTCTAAAATTTGATGCTATTTCCGACATTTTTTGCTTTCATTCAATAAAATTTGAAAAAAAAAAAATGTAAAAATTATGTCGTTTGACTTTGTTGCAGTTTTATTTTTATCTCACCCTGTATACTTGCATGGAGTATTTAGAAGCAACCGCTAAGGTGTCTTTATACGCGACTGGAATTGGTCTTTTTAGATTTTTTAAAGATCCTTTATAGAGAACTGGTAAGGAGGTCTGTACATACTCCTTTGAAAGTCTCTAAAGAAATTTTTTCAGACAATGAGTTAGGAGGATTAATAGACCACCTGTAAGGGGTCTTTTAAGACGATTGTAATAGGACTTGTTGGTCTTACAACGAAATTCAGAAAACTCTACATAAACCCTTTTTATTTCCAGAGACTTGTGTGGCAAATTTCTCTTTTTCTCTCTGTTTTGAGGCAATAAAACACGATCTCTGCTAATTTTTGACAACTTCAGAGTCTTAGTTTCCATTCTCCTCTCCCACCATCGATTTTTATAAAAAATAAATTTCACATTTTAATTATTTATAAATAACATAAATTCTGTTCATAAAATGTGTAATTACATTTCTCATAACCACCCACCTCCCCCCGTGGTGGTAGCAGTAGTTCGAAAATGCCAACCTTTAACGATTTCCCCCCATAACCATGAACCCAAAAATGCAAAACAAAAGAATTTCTCATTCTTCTTCTTCTTCGACATTATTCTCAAAGCCCTCATAATCAACACTTGGCCCAGAAAGAATGGCCACCAGCAATGTGGGAGCAACAACAATGACAACAACAACAATCACATTAGATGGAATTTGGTGGTGGCAGGAGGAGGAAGCAAGCAGTGGTAGAGGAAATAGACTCAAATTGACACAATGTGTTATTGTTGACTTTTGACATTGTTATTCACTGTTCTGTTCTGTTCTGTTCTGCTGCTTCTAAGTTAAATAGTGCTAATTTCTTTGTATGTGTCTGTGTGTATGTGTATTTGTTTAATTTTTATTAATTTTTGTTTTCATTTTTTCCTCTATGTATTTTCCAGGTTACGGTCGCCGAGAGGTTGTTGAATTCCTACTCAACAATGGTGCTTCCATACAGGCCTGCGACGAGGGTGGCCTCCATCCTCTACACAATGCCTGTTCCTTTGGTCATGCCGAAGTGGTACGCATGCTGCTGAAGGCCGGTGCCTGTCCCAATACGACAGATAACTGGAACTACACACCGCTGCACGAGGCGGCCAGCAAGGGCAAAGTCGATGTCTGCATTGCCCTGCTGCAGCACGGTGCCAATCCGAATATTCGTAATTCGGAGAATAAAACTCCCCTGGAATTGGCCGACGAGAATACACGACCCGTCCTCACCGGCGAGTATCGTAAGGATGAACTTTTAGAGGCGGCTCGATCGGGGGCCAAGGAACGTCTGTTGGCCCTGCTGACACCACTCAATGTTAATTGTCATGCTAGCGATGGTAGACGTTCAACACCTTTACATTTAGCAGCGGGTTACAATCGGATAGGAATTGTCGAAATTCTGCTGGCACATGGAGCGGATGTGCATGCTAAAGATAAAGGTGGTTTGGTGCCATTACACAATGCCTGTTCGTATGGTCACTTCGAGGTGACCAAACTACTGATCAAGGCCGGTGCTGATGTCAATGCCAATGATTTGTGGGCATTTACGCCGTTGCACGAAGCTGCCTCTAAGAGTCGTGTCGAAGTGTGTAGTCTGCTCCTGAGCAAGGGAGCGAATCCGACGCTGCTCAATTGCCACAATAAGTCGGCAATTGATTCGGCACCAACGAGGGAATTGCGTGAGCGTATTCACTGTAAGTAGTGGCATTGAAATAACTTTTTTTGGAGATGCCTTTTTGTTCTGCTAAATATTCCCAGTAGGTATTTTGGAAACACAACTTCCCCTGGACATTTTTTTACTCTCTCTCTCCTCTTATTATGTGTGCAAAACTTGAAATTAAAATATCTTCTTCTCTTCCAGATGAATACAAGGGCCATTGTGTCTTGGATGCTTGCAAAACCGGCAATATACCCAGGCTAAAGAAATTCCTTTCATCGGAAACGGTCAACTTTGTACATCCTTATACGGGGGACACGCCTTTGCATGCAACAGCAGTGTCCATTGATCCCAAACGGAAACAGGTAATGTCATATAGAATGGCTTCGGAATGGAGGTGTGTTGAGGATGGATCATGTTGGGGGTTTTTAAGGATTCTGAAAGTAGATACTGTGTGAATTTTATTATCGATGTATTTTGAGGTAAAATTTTGAAAAAATACTTAAAGATTGACCATAACAGAGGAGGCTCAGGTCGTCTCCGGGATACGTCGATGACTTTATTCTGCAAAGGCGACTATATTCTTCATCTATTGAAGACCTAGTATGAATTGTTGCAACTTCTCCTAAAAATAATTCCATCTGTAGTAGTCTTTTTCTATTAAAAGAGGACTCATGCAGGGCCTTCTCCCTCGTAACATTAAATATCTCTCCAAATATCTTTACATAAAAGACCCGTACAGATAGTCTTTTGAAGGTGTAGGCGATCTGTTTGAAGATTTTGGTTTTATAAGTCACTTTAAACTGATAATCCCTTCTAACGACCTTTTTTCTATCTTCCTCCATCTTCTATCCATGTGACCTCTCAAAGATATTTAAGTGAAATCTATACTCTTAGAATATTTGGCTATCTATGCCCTGCGGCTCAATGAACTAGGTCAATGGCGGAGTCAGTCCTTTGGACACTTTGTCATTCTTAAGAATGTGGAGAACATAGATGGTCGGGCTATAATCAGTGATTACATATCACCTAGGCAAATTTTCGAATCACTGGACATCCATATACCTAACAGCGAAACCTGGACCCGGAACACTCCACCTTTTAACGATATAGCCGTCTATACCGATGGATCAAAGATGGAAATTGGAACGGGGGCTGGGGTCTTCTGTGAATGCTTGAATATCCGGAAATACTTTAAATTAAACAACGACTGCAGCGTTTTTTAGACACAAATCTTTGCTATCAGGAAAGCCATGGAGAATCAATGAATTGTATAGATCGGTGACAATATATGACGACAGTCAGGCGGCCTTGAAGGCTCTTAATTCTTTTACAATCAAATCTATGGCAGTTCTGAAATGCAGAAATGCTCTGGAAAAGTTTAAGTCGTTTGTAAAACTATATTGGGTCCTTGGCCATTGTAACATATCTGGCAATGAATCTACTTGTACTATCTATGCATCTGTCCACCTATTTAAAGAAAAACTGTTAAAAATGAAAACCTCTTCCCAAGAGTCCCTCTCTATACCATTCTGTCTATTTATCTATCTATCTAACTACCTATCCCTCTATGTTTCAATCTGTTTATACAAATACCCAAATAGAAGTTTGGTTATCTCAAAAAGTCCCTGCCAGGATTTTCAACCACAGATAGCTAGAAAAAGGCCCCCATCCTACGACTCCGAAGCCAAGACTATAATGTACTAGTTCACTGTATAAAATACTTAAAATCTTCTCTCCCTCCTTTTTCCAGATCTCCGAATTACTTATACGCAAAGGTGCACTGCTAAACGAGAAGAATAAAGCCTTCCTCACACCCCTGCATGTGGCTGCCGAACAATTGCACTACGACATTATGGATACTCTGTTGAAAAATGGTGCCAAAGTCAGTGCTGTCGATGGATTGGGACAGACGGCGTTGCACAAATGTGCTCGTGACGAACAGGCCGTACGTTTGCTACTCTCCTATAATATTGACACCTCCATCATATCGGTGGAGGGGTACACGGCCGCCCAACTAGCCTCAGATAGTGTTTTGAAAATTCTCAAAGATCCACCAGACACTGAAACACATCTGCTGGAAGCTGCCAAGGCTGGAGATTTGGATACAGTGCGGCGCATCGTATTGGCCAATCCACATTCGGTGAATTGTCGTGACCTAGACGGGAGACATTCGACACCTTTGCATTTTGCCGCAGGCTTTAATCGGGTGCAAGTTGTGGAGTTCCTGTTGGAACAGGGAGCCGAGGTGCATGCCGCCGACAAGGGTGGTCTGGTGCCGCTGCACAATGCCTGCTCATATGGACATTTTGAGGTAACAAAATTGCTTATAAAAGCCGGTGCCAATGTCAATGTTTCGGATCTGTGGAAATTCACACCGCTCCATGAAGCTGCCGCCAAGGGAAAATATGATATTGTTAAGCTGCTTCTCAAACACGGTGCAGATCCCACAAAAAAGAATCGTGATGGTGCCACACCTGCTGATTTAGTCAAAGAATCCGATCATGATGTGGCCGAATTGCTTAGGGGTAACTCGGCTCTTTTGGATGCTGCCAAGAAAGGTAATCTGGCACGAGTTCAAAGGCTGGTTACCCCCGAAACCATCAACTGTCGCGATGCTCAAGGCCGCAACTCCACACCCTTGCATTTGGCTGCCGGCTACAACAACTACGAAGTGGCGGAATACCTTTTGGAGAATGGGGCCGATGTCAATGCCCAGGACAAGGGTGGCCTAATACCTCTGCACAATGCATCCTCGTATGGCCATCTGGAAATTGCGGCGCTCCTCATCAAACACAAGACTGTGGTAAATGCTACCGACAAATGGGGTTTCACACCCCTGCATGAAGCAGCCCAAAAGGGTCGCACACAACTCTGTTCGTTGCTGCTGGCCCATGGTGCTGATCCCTATATGAAAAATCAAGAAGGCCAAACTCCCATAGAATTAGCCACAGCTGATGATGTGAAATGTTTGCTGCAAGATGCCATGGCCACATCGTTGAGTAGCTCAGCATTAAGTGCTTCCCAACAATCATTGCTGAGCAACAACTCAACCCCATTGGCTTCGGCGGCAGCGGCGGGTGCAGCAACAACCGCAACATCAGCTACCGCCAACAGTTTATCGGCCACAAATGGCAGCAGTGTGGCCGCCTGTACAGTGCTCTCGCCCAGCACTGAGACCGTAACCCTGCCTTCGGGTGCCTCAATGACCCTAAGTGTTCCTGTGCCTCTACCCTTGTCGACACGCATCAGTCCAGCTCAGGGTGCCGAAGCCAATTCCACAGATTTGGGTGAAGATGTTGCCGATCCCGAGTCCATAACAAACATTGCCAGTTTCTTGAGCAGTTTACAATTGGAACATCTAACGGATCTCTTCGAAAGGGAACAAATAACGCTGGAAATATTGGCCGAAATGGGTCATGAAGATTTGAAACAGGTTGGAGTGTCGGCGTATGGTTTTCGTCATAAGATACTTAAGGGCATAGCTCAATTGAGGGCTACCACGGGTGAGATGTCAAAAAAGGGTTTGTTTTTCTGAATTTAAATCTTTATTAATTTGGGGTTTTTTCCTTTTAGGTATTGGCAACAATGTCAATCCTGGCACATTGCTAGTTGATCTTTTACCCGATGATAAAGAATTTCTAGCAGTGGAGGAGGAAATGCAGGCCACCATCAGAGAGCACAGGGACAATGGTCAAGCTGGTGGTTATTTTACCCGTTATAACATTATACGAGTAAGTATGGGGCAATGTATTGCTACTCCCGTCTAGAGATAAAAAAAAAACTATTTCTACAAGCCATTAGCAGATTGAAAAGCTTTTAAAAGAAGACCTGCAGGATGGCATCTAGAATGAAAAGACGAGAGAAAAATATCGAAAATTATTTGAGGCTTTTAGTGGACCCAAATAGTTAGAGGTGTTTTATAAATAGGAAAACAAACGGCTCCCGAAGTCAGAAGCATTCTATAGAAGGAAGAACCGCACCAAAGCCTTTAGGAAGTCTTTCATGGACAGTATATTTTACTGAAGTTTTTATAGGTTCCTCTACAGACAAAGACCTTTGAAAAATTATCAAGAAGTGTAAGACTTGTAGGTATTTTAGAAAAAATATATTTTAGTTAGATATAGATAATTCCGTCTGGAGGTCTTTTGATAATCGAAGGACTTTTAAAGATGTTCCATAAAACGAACAAATGCACAATGACTATTGGTAGAAACCCGGTAAATAGAAACCCGGTTAAAGGTCTTCAATGAACAAGAAACGTCTTCACAAAAAGGACCGAACGAGTTTTGAGGTGTTTTATAGATAGGAAAACCAAACGGCTCCTGATGTCGGAAGGATTCTATAGGAGGAAGAACCGCACGAAACCCTTTAAGAGGTCTTTAATTTTTTCATATATTGTTTCTGAAGTTTTTATAGAAAGAAGAATAAGGGCAGATGGCCAACCTTTTTGAGTTCCTTTACCTGCAAAGGCCTTCGAAAAATAATCAAGAGTACACCTCTTGATTGTAGGTCTTTTAGAAAAAATATATTTAAGATAGATATAGATAATGCCGTCTAGAGGTCTTTTGATAATCGAAGGACTTTTAAAGGGGTTCTATAAAACGAACATCTGCACAAGGACTATTGGTAGAAACCCGGTTAGAGGTCTTCAATGAACAAGAAACGTCTTCACAAAAAGGAAGACCTTTTTAAGGAGATCTGTAAAAAACCTTTTTAAGATCATTAAAAAGTGGAAGACTTGGAATTCCTTTAGAAAAAGATCATATGATAGAAAAAATAACATCTGAAGGCCTCCCTATAAACGAAGAACTTTTAGACTTGAAGAGGGCTAGAAAATCTGTTGAAGGACTTGAAAAACTGTTACAAAACTTTAATGAACAAGAAACGTCTTTAGAGATTATATATGTATATTTATGAAAAACAGGTCTTATTGAAGTCCTCCATAGACAAAAGACCTAGAGAAACACTCTCATGGAAGTATTTTGTAAGCACAAACACAAGGAGTTCTAAAAAATCTTTAATGGACAGAAGATTTTCTTGAGGTTTTTAATCGATAGAATACCCTCTTTAGAGAATATAGATGCATTCAATGGAAAGGCGATCGTTTTTGAAACCTCTATAGAGAAAATTTCTATAGGGCCTCTATAGAGGTTTCAAAAGTTATAATTACATAGATTACTTTATAGAGATGGGGGTTTTGTAGAAGTCATTTACAGAAAGAAGACCTTGAAGAAATCTTCATTGGAAGAATGTCTTGTTCTTTTGAAGAATAAAGACTGAAGATTTTCCATAGAAGACTTCCTAATGTTCTTCCACATATAGAAGACTTGCCAGAATGTAGTCCCACTAAAGACTTTGTTGAAGTCTTTTACGCATCACCGACTTTTAGAGGTTTTCTATAGAGGCTTTCTCAGGATTTTTGTTAGATGCATTCTTAGAGGTGTTCGACTAAAAAGGAACCTTATTGGATCGGCAAAAAGAGCAGATCTTATAGTAAAATATCTTATAGTGATGTCCAATAGATAGATGATCGTATGTCAGCAAGACTTCATCGAACGAATATTAGGAAGGTTATCCATGGATAAAAACCTTCAGTTCAGTTCCGTTAGATGCTGTGTACAAATGGAAGATTTTATATAGATATTATACATAGAGGATATTATCCAAGATTTTATAGATGAATTAATTATATACGTTTTATAAAGATATATGTTCTTCTAGAGGTCATCTATAGATAGGAGAATTTATAAGAGTGTCTTTCAAATGTCTTATATAGAACGATTTTGGGGATATTCTGGAGATAAAAGACCTAATAGACTAGTTAATAATCTCCAGATGGTAATGTTTTAGGTTTTATAGAAGAACCATTTTTTATTCTCTACACCACAAGGTGGTCAGGGTAATATGTCTTTGTACTTTTTTTTGTAACAGGCAAAAGGAAACGAGATAGACCAATAGTTCCTTTTGATGATCTGCATAGAATCACATTCTGATTTATGCATGTCCGTCCGTTCGTCCATTCATTTATTTCCGTTAACAAAGTACAGGTCGCATTTATTTCCCGATCTAGAAGAAATTTTGCACAAAAAATTTGTTTGACCCAAGGAAGAACCCTATTTGGAGATAATCGGTTGATTATCGATTTGCCTTTTATTGTGCATCAAACGTGTAATATTTTGCACATGCGACCAAATTAGGCCGTAATATGCACTCTGCAACAACGATATTTGGGAATTTATATACAGCTCAGAAATACCTTTGCTAAATTTTTTAGAGATCGGTTAAGATTTGGATATAGCTACTACATATATCTTCGTCCGATTTGCCTTTTATTGTGCGCCAAATGGGATGGAATTTGACACTTACGAACAAATGGAGTCTAGAAACAAGTATGTTAAAATTTGGTGAAAATCGGTTCTGATATAGCTAGAGGTCCCATATATATTGTTCATCCGATTTTTTATATTTGCTCTCCACAGCCTTAATATGGACTCCGTAACAACGATATTCGGGGAAATATATCGAATACAGCTCAGAAATACCTTTGCCAAATTGTGCACCAAATGGTTAATACAATCCCGAGTTAAAAAGGTACAATTGCTCGACAAATTTAGTAGAAATCGAAATCGATCGATCCCTTAGGACTTTAATTATACCCTCAGCCATATGGCTACAGAGGGTATATATCATTTGATACGGTCAAAACGTGCCTAGTCGAAATAACGGTTTTAGACCCTAGGTCTCTTTGGACCAAATCCGTTTTAGAACATTTGGAGTCGATCTAGCGATGTCCGTCCGTCCGTCCGTCCGTCCGTCTGTCTGTCTGTCTGTCTGTCTGGCTGGCTGGTGCGCACGATAACTCTTGAAGGGAGTATCCGATTTGGTCCAAACTTGATACATCGTAATATTTTTGTCAAACTTAGATCGAGTTCGGAGATGGGTAATATCGGTCCACTCCTTCTGGTACCTCCCCCACAAAAGGTCGAAATTTTCAAAAAATTTATTTTTTGCACAGAAAGAGAAGCGATAAACCGATTTTGCCCCAACTTTGCAAATCTTAATATTTGCGTCAGTGTTAGGTCAAGTGTGAAAATGGACAATATCGGTCCACTCCATCAAGTACCTCCCCCACAAATGGTCAAAATTTTGAATAATTGCAACTCTCATAATATGTGATGTAAGAGTCCGATTGTCTTCAAAGTTCACACATGCCAATATTTATGTTAGCCCAAGGTCTGATGATAAGATGGAATATATCGGTAAATTCCTTCTGGTACCTCCCCCACAAATGGTCGAAATTTTAACAAATATATATTTTTTGCACAGAAAGAGAAACGATAATCCGATTTTGCTCAAACTTTGCAAATCTCAATATTTGCGTAAGTGCTAGGTCAAGTGTAAAAATTGACAATATCGGTCCACTCCTTCTGGTACCTCCCCCACAAAGGGTCGAAATTTTAAATAATTACAACTCTCATAAAATGTGATGTAAGAGTCCGATTGTCTTCAAATTTCACACATCTTAATATTTATATTAACCCAAGGTCTGGTGTTAAGATGGAATATATCGGTCCACTCCTTCTGGTACCTCCCACACAAATGATCAAGATTTTCAAAAAAATAAAATATATAAAAAAATATATAAAAAAAATATTTTCTGCACAGAAAGAGAATCGATAAACCGATTTTGTTCCAACTTTGCAAATCCTTATATTTACATCAGTTCTAGGTCAGGTGCAAAAATGAATAACATAGGTCCACTCCATCAAGTACCTCCCCCACAAAAGGTCGAAATTTTGAATATTCATCACGCTCTTAAAACACTTGAACACGATTCCATTCTAAAGAATCCGAAATAAACATCCAGTTCTCTTCATATTACACACGTCCCATTATTTCTACTAACTCAAGATCTGGTGTGAAGATGGGATATATCGGTCCACTCCTTCTGGTACCTCCCCCACAAAAGGTAAAAATTATGAGTATCCATGAAGTTCATAAAACGCAAAATTATCATCCGATTCTATTCAAACTAGGATGATGTATTTTATCTGTATTAGATGAAGTGTGAAAATGGAATACTTCGGTCCGCTGTATCTGTTACCTGAGGCATATTTCCATTTTCCGAAAAGGTGCACATACCTCATATAAAGTACAAGAAGTAGTCGATATAGTCCAAATCTGTCACGTTCGTAACTCAAGGCTGAGGGTATACATCTGTCGGCAAAACCGACTGATACTATTTTACTTGTTTAAATTCTAACTATAATCATAGTTGGTATGATTTTATTCTCACAAATTCACCATAAAAACTTTTATTTATTATGTTAAGCTCTACTAAATATGCAAAGTGGTGTAGGGTATCATAAAGTCGGCCCCGCCCGACTTTAAGACTTTCTTTACTGGTTTCTCGTATAGAATACATTTTAGGTGTCTTACAAATACATAGATTTATTCGAATTGTATGGAGTACTTTTAAAATGGGATTGGTTTGGAAGTCTTTATTTAAGATAGAATTTCTAGAGATATCCTTCTTTAGGTCTTCGGTTGGAAGTAGATATCGTATATCTTTCTACCCCATTTTGCAAAAGTCATATTTCATATTAATTTTGCTTTTATCTTTTGCCGTTTAGGTTCAAAAGGTACAAAATCGTAAACTGTGGGAACGATATGCCCATCGTCGCCAAGAAGTTTCCGAAGAGAACACAATGCAGGCCAATGAACGAATGCTCTTCCATGGTAGCCCCTTCATCAATGCCATTGTCCAGAAGGGTTTCGATGAACGACATGCCTACATTGGTGGTATGTTTGGTGCTGGCATTTATTTTGCCGAACACAGTTCGAAAAGTAATCAATATGTGTATGGTATTGGTGGAGGTATTGGATGTCCATCGCACAAAGATAAATCGTGTTATATGTGTCCAAGGTAGGAACGATTCAAAAATTTCGACAAAAAAAAACAAATCTTGATATTTATTTCCCTTTAGACAATTGCTTTTGTGTCGAGTGGCTCTGGGTAAATCTTTTCTGCAATATAGTGCCATGAAAATGGCCCATGCACCGCCGGGTCATCATTCCGTTATTGGCCGGCCCTCGGCGGGTGGCCTGCACTTTGCCGAATATGTGGTGTACAGAGGTGAACAGGTATGGCTGGAAATTTTAAACTTTCCCAACATTTCTTTGTTACCAATTCTTCCATTTTCAGGCCTATCCCGAATATCTAATTACCTATAAAATTGTCAAACCCGAGGACAGTAGTAGCGGGGCCGAGGAAACAAGATGATGGATGCCCTCTGTCGGTTCTACACCAACTACATCATCGCCAGCCCTGCAACAGCAACAGTCATTACAATCTTCTATGGCTCCAGCACAGCACTCCAGCAATGCCGTGCACTTGCCACCGCAAAATTCCTCTAGCATTTCCCTGCAACAGCAACATGCCAAAATCCAGCAGCAACACTCACTGCCATTGCAGTTACAATACCAGGTGACGACAACGCAACCTTCGCCGGCTGGCATGTTCATTAGCCAGACGGCTGGGATTATTAGCAGCACGGCCGCCTTGGGTAATACGGCGTCGTTTTTCAATGCAGCCACATCCGGGGCGGATCTATCGCCCACATCATCGACAGCCTCGTTTTCATCGGTGGATACAAATCAAACTTTGCTAAATTCCATTGCAGCCAATCAACAGCAGCAACAACAACAGCAGCAGCAATCGTCTCAGAGCTCAGGCTCAAATCAACATCACCACCTATCCTCATTGGGTCAGAAAAATTCCTATTCTTCATCTTCCGGAGGACATGGCAATGGTTCGACGACCTCAAAGGCCATTGTGCCCTCCTCGAATCGTTCTTATCGCACCAAATACAGTCAATTTATGATTATCACCCCAGCCGTGTCCATAGATAGAGATTTTGATCGCACCGACACCCTGTCTTCGAATGCGGCCGATAATCATGGCTTCCACACAGCCGACGATGATCCCTATCCCCACAATGGCAATATATTTCGCTTCAACAATCTGCAGGCAAGCATTGACAGCGGCAACAGCAGTGACAGTGGTTCATTTCGTTCCAATTACAATCCCTATCTGCACAATAGTCGCCAGCACCTGTTGCCTAAATCGGCCCCACCTTTTTATAATTTCTCGCCATCGTCATGGTGTAATTTGATTTGTGCAGCCATGCGCTGCTTTGGGGCTGGTGGTGGAGGTGGTGGCGGTGCTGGGGGCAGTGGCCGGAATCGTAGTGGCCTGTATAGCACCTCCTTTGGACGGCCACCCTATCAAAGGTCTCGCAGTTCGGGACCGCACACCTCGTCGAAGACGCCGCATCGTCGTTTGCGTTCGTATTCCACTTCATCGTTTACACCCGAAACTGCCTTTGAGCATTTCTCTGCACCGTTTAAGGCGCGCAAGACGCGTGACGAACAGAACAACATTGCCTATGAGTTGTGACGCTGGTTAAGATTGCAGGAAGAAAAAGAACAGCAACACCAATTGCAAATGGAGCCGCAACAAGAAATTAAACTTAGACTTCCAGAAACAAGAAAAAATGATCTCTCTTTTTTATTACAACTACAACTACGATTATTACAACAACAACAACAAAAACTACTAATACAATTATTGCAAAATTTACGACAACTATTCCTCATAATTAAGCTCATCATCATTATGAACGAAATAGTAAAAGGAGAAGATAAAACGCTCGCAATATTTTCATACGAAACTCTTAATCCTTGTCCCCCGACCCCTTCCCGCAAAACCTTGATCATGATGATGTACGTGCAAATGTATTTGATTTAATTTTTTTTAATATTTTAATTTTCTTGTCTTTTTTTGTATTACAAAATTGTTTTTGTATGAGACTTTTTCTTTTTATTTACCAATAGCTGTAACTTTAGTTAAATTGAAATCGAACGAAGTTTAATTTTTAAATTTTATATATGTCAAATTTTAAGGGTATACATTTTATTTTAAAGAGGATCATTGATAAAATATACGAAAAGCAATCTCTTGATTGAAAAAAAAAACTCTTGAACCATTTGTTGCAGAAGGCAAACGTTGAATAGAATGCAGAGAAAATTGTTGCTCCAACGTTTTCAAATGCATTTTCCTGAAATTGGTATATGGTGAAGATAGAAGTTGCCGTAAAGTGAAATATCAAAAGATGAATACATCAATATACACTGTTCTCATCTCTTCTCAAAAAGTCAATCAGCGAGGTGATTTTTCAATTATTAGTTGCCTTGGCTCCGTGTTTAATTACTTCAATACATGTGTCTTTGCCCAAAAATTTCCTATCCTACGCATTTTAAAATATATTCTGAAATTGGCGGTTCGTATGGAATACATTCAAACCCTCATAAAAAAAACAGATTACCTTCCAATAGAAGAAATCAGAATGCCAATTGATCTACAAGGTATGCTCATTGAAAATCTGAATGGAGCTCTAGTTTTTTTTTATCAGCAAAGGGATACATTTTGACATTTTTTTCCTTCTGGTTGTATTTAAAGAAACATCCTCCTTCTTTAATATTTTAGAAATTGTTGGTCCTTGATAAAAAAAAACCACATTTGAATTTTTAAAGGAAAAAAGGAAAACAAGTAAAAAAGTTGTATTTTTGGTCGGGCCGAACTTTTAATACCCTCCACCATTTTGAACGAATTTGACAATTTTCAAAAAATATAATCCGTCAAAAATTTGTTAAAATCTTAAAAATACCGTATGAAGCCGTATGTATACGATGACGTGGACCTGCATAGGCAATTTTTGTCATAAGCCATTACAATGTTCAAATGCGAAACTTGAAACATTTCCGGTGAATAATGTCGGTAAAATCATCAAAATACCAAATATCGGGAGGTCCCGTTATATGGTGGCTATAAGAAGACGTATATCTGCACAGACAATTTTCTGTCATAGGCTGCAGTATCCATTACGAACTTCAAATACCAAAATTGAAACAATTCCGTTAAATAATGTCGCTAAAATCACCAAAATACCGAATATCGGGAGGTTCCGTTATATGGAGTCTATACGAAGACGTGGAAATGCACAAACAACTTTCTGTCTTAGGCTGTAGTATCCATTACGAACTTCAAAAACCAAATTTGAAACAATTCCGGTGAATAATGTCGCTAAAATCATCAAAATGCCGAATATCGACAGGTGCCGTTATATGGGGGCTATACAAAGGCGTAGACCTGCACAGGCTGTAGTATCCATTACGAACTTTAAATACCAAATTTGAAAGATTTCGTCGAAAAATGTCGCTTAAATCGCCTAAATACCAAAAATAGGGAGGTACCATTATATGGGGGCTATACCAAAACGTGGACCTACATGGTCCATTTTTAATATCAAATATCCTGCAGACATAATATATATATTTGAGTAACATTTTAAGAAACTACTTAATTTCGTTCGGCAGCTAGAGAGATTTCCACAGATGGATGGACGAACGGTCATCGTTAAATCGACATAGAATTTTATGCTGATCAAAAAATATGTACTTTGTGTACATTTTGTTTCGAGGTGTTACAAACGGAATAACAAACTTAGTATACCCTCCATAGTATGGTGGAGGGTATAAAAATAGAATCAGAGGGGGGTATTATTGGGATCGTTATTTTTTCGATCAAAGAAACAACCTCCTTTCCCCCCATAATAAGAGAATTTTTGGTCCTCAGTATTACATAAACACCTGGCTGCCAAAATTGGACAAAAATCTAGATTTGGGTTGATAATTTCTGCGATCAAATGACAATCCAATAAAACGAAGAAAATATTGTGGAGGAAAGGAACCATAAAGCCTGGGAGAATATTTCTTTTGAAACGATATAAAGGAACCAATAAACATTTATTTCATCTGAATGATTGAGATTTTGAAGAGTGTTTTACATAAAATAGCATACGAATAAATCGCACCTTTGGCGCTCCAATTTTGCTTTGTCCAAAAACTATGGGAAACTGGGAAAACTGTTAGAAACAGCAGAATTGTATCGAAATTTTTAAAATTAACACTACTGCCAATCAGTAGCTGGGTGTCATATCACTACTTTTTGCTGGGCCACATTTGTCTGGTAAAGAGCCCCACGTTGGCCGCCAAATTGAATAATTTTCTTATGAATCCCTTATATTGAGTTCTGTTATTGTGAGACGCGACATGTGGAATGCTATTGTGACATCTTGGAAGAATATTTGTTTTTGTTTTTTTTTTTTTGGGGTGCTGTATATTTTTTGACGCCACTTAATAAATTTCTTGGGCGCCGCTTTAATAAATTTCTTTTAGTATCAATATAAATCACCCAAGAAACTCAAATCTGTTATCATTTTTCCTATAAAATCCCTATATGAAGTTATATGATTGAAAAACGCGAAATGTGTGATGGCATTGTGACATCATGGATAATTTTTTTATTTATAAGAAACTTGTTGTTTTTAAAATTGGAACCTTTGGGCGCCATTTCAATTAAGTCTTTATATTATAAATTTAAAACTCCCAATTAATCCATAATGCAGCTATACAAAGATGGACATATTTATGAGGCTCCTTGGAAGAATATTTTGTGGAGAAGTTTAGTATTTTGTTTTCGAATTTTATATTGTCCCACGTTGGTCGCCAAATTGTTTAATATTCCTATACATGGTAAAATAAAAGAACTGCAGTAATTTTTACATTTTTTTCTCTCAAATTTTATTGACTGAAAGCAAAAAATGTCGGAAATAGCATCAAATTTTAAAAAAGTTAGAAAAAGATTTTTTCGAATTGGTCATCTTTGGCACAGATTACGGCCAATGAAACCGTCCCACGCTGCCCGAATATTGCTCTGCAATATTTTGGCCCATTCCCGACGAAGCGATTGCTTGAGGTGATCGACACTTGGGTATTTTTTAGTACCAACCTTGCTTTCCGAAATACTCCACACACAGTAGTCCAACGGATTGGTATCCGGAGATTATGGATATGAAGCGAGGAACCTCATTTTGTAACCATTCTTGGGTGACGCATGCTGAGTGCTATGGTACTAAGTCCTATTGGAATGTCCAAGATCTGCGGCCAAAATGTTTGCGTGGCCAAGGCTTTAATACACCCTCCAGAATATTTTCGCGATAATATTCGGCATTTATTACGAGCGGAGAGCGACCATCGGCTTTTATGGCGGCCCACACCATCACCATGGGCGTCGCATGAGTTCTGGTGACCAACCGAAGGTGCACATTTTTCGCTGACCTCTTTGGCAAGTAAACATGATCATTTTAGTTGTTTACTAACTGCGGGACAACGAATGAAATGGATCTTTCTTATTCCATCTGAAACTTCTCTCGTATTGAATTTTTTCGTAATTAAAAACAAAAAACACATTCAAAATTTTTTTATTATTTTTTTAATTTTTTTTTTAATTTTAAAAAAATTAACAATTTAAAAAAAACATCACATTTAGGGAAATTGCAATACACATAAATTTTATATATATTTTTTTAAATTCTTTTCACATTTGCATGTACATTGATATCCTTAACCATTAATCCTTAAAACTAAATATTTCAAAACACATTTTCTACTATAATTATTAATAAAATATATAAATGTCTCTTTTTAAATAACAACAAAGAAAAAATGATTAATATTTAAATTTTAGATATTATACAAAATAAATACAAGAAATTAAATGAAATTGAAATGTATTTTATTAAAAGAAATTATTATAAAAAAAATCAGAAAATTGAATGTAATTTTCTCTTTGAATCTTCCTTTTACAAAAAAATATATTTAAAAAAAAACACACTCAAAAAAAAGAAAAAAACTTTCCCTCCACACACATTAATATATAAAAAAAAATCTATTAAAAATTAATATCAATTCCTTTTCATTCTTAACAAAAATAAAATCTCTACATATATTTTGTCGTCGTTTATATGTATTATAATTGAAAAATAAATATATACACACGAAAAAAAAACAATAGTAATAACAAAATATTAAAAAGCAAAAATAAAAAAATAATAAACTAATCACATCACAAACAAATTTTCAAACTTCTTATCTACGGAAATTAATTGATATCGTCGACATTATTCCGTTTAGCGATGTTTACATTTACTTAACAAAAAAAAAAAACAAATAATTATTATATATGTACGTACTACAACAAATATATTATTCTTATATATACCCAACAACAAAAAACCAATAACAACAACAAAAAAACCTAAACATTATAGAAAAAAAAAATAAAACCAGAAAAAAACGTGTAATTATTTAAATAAATAAAATCGAAAAAAAAAAACAGAACAATTGAAACGATAACGTACTTATTTAAGAATTTAAATTTAAACAACAAAAATTATATATACACACGCTATATATTGAAATATATATATATATATATATATATATATATATACATATACACTGATATAAATATAAAATCAAATTGCGATTTAAATTTAAAACAAAACAAAAAAATGAAATAAAAAAGGAAACTAAGAAAAAAAATACATTTTAAATTCGAAAAATTATACATATTTAAATGCAATAACAACAACAACAAAAACAAACAAACAACTTAAATATTAAAACTAAAAATAAATCATGATGAATTAAACGAGATACAATTCAACAAAAAAAATACGAAATGAAAAATAAAATGTTGTTTTATTGAAGAAGAAGAAATAAAATACCATTGGAAGCCATGTATCATCACAAAGGGGATTATTTTTTTTTTCTGTTTAAAATTTAAATAATAGAACTTGGTAAATGAAAAAAAATATATTCTAATTTTGTGATATCCTTCAAATACATTCAGCTAAAGCATTTGTTTCGCCATATTTTTGAGTGAGTTTGACCTGAGGACGATTGCGGTCACATTTGTTATCAAGAAAGTAACGAGGAACCCAGATTGTGCCTCATTGAAATGAAAGTTTAAGATGATTTTAAAAACGCATTCGAATGTTGTATTGTATTTGAAAAAAATATTTCCCACTCACATTGGGCGCCATATTTCTTGACTTCTTTCAAAACTTCTCCATATCAAACTCATCTCACTCATCGCGTCCCCTTGGAAGAAGTTTTATTTTCAACATCAAATTTTATCCAGTTTTAGAATTGGACATGGCTCCATGGCTTGGGCGCCACTGCTGTTAATTTGTTTTAACTTTGTCGTTTTTTGCATTAAAATTGCAAAATTTTGTAGAATGGTTGTTATGGGGACCTTTTTGAAGATTTTAATATTTGTAGGAAGATTATTCAGTTCGAAATTATGTCGCAGTTGGGCGCCATTTATTTATATTTCTCAAATCTCTTCATACTGGCTCCTATAATTGTGGTATTTTGAACGAGCAGGCTTAGATGAAAAAACTGCAACCAACTTCAGACTGCTGTAATTTCTAAGCCACTCGTCCGACTCGCTTCCATTCAATTAAATTAAAAAAAAATGTAAAAATGATGGCGTTTGACTTTTTTGCATTTTGTTTTATCTCACCCTGTATATATACCAAGAAAGTAAAGAAGTGGCAATTGT